TGCAGACAAACCACAGCAGCAGAGACCATGTCACCCGCTGACACATCCCAGAGTGAACTAGCTAAAATCATCTGAAGGCTAAAGCTTAATGGACCATTACTGATATTTACGTAGCCCTAGCCCATTACATTTACTACATTTGTTATGACAATTTTAAGTAGTATAGTGTTGCAACGGTTTCATGTTTAAAATGCCATTACACTGTAAGTAATACACATATAATCACATATGCATGAGATCTATAATAGAACTTGTAATGTGGTTCTTTTAAATTGAATATTTCACACTGAAACTAAAAGGTTTCATGTTCTTAAAAGAACAGGATGTCCTGACTTTTTGTACAACATTTAATGCCCACACAGCACCCCTGGCAATTGACTGCTTCTATCAGAGCATCACTGCCATCTAGTGTTAAGACACATACCAACATTTTAGAATAAAATAATAATGATTTCACAGAAACCATTTCAAACCTTTCAAAAGATAATGCAGAATATATGTAATAATTGTGTTTTCTTTTGTTCTGTGTTGTAGATGACTGTGGTGTCTCCATGCACTCAACACCTCATGGATAGTGCTCACCCTCAGACTGTGCTGTGTAAACTCAATGAGCAGCGCTCACAAGGGCTGTTCTGCGATGTGACTATAGTGGTAGAGGATGTGAAGTTTCGAGCACACAGAAACATCCTTGCAGCCAGCAGTGGCTATTTCAAGAATGCACTTACAGCAACTGAAAGTTGGAACTCAGGTCAAATACTGGAGCTGATGGATCTCAAATCTGAAGTATTTGCAAATATCCTCAACTTTATCTACTGCTCAAAGGTGACGTCATGTGGAGCAGAGGACACAGGCAGTCTAGTGGCAGCGGGCAAGAGGCTTGGAATTCCATTTTTAGAAAAGTTTTCAGAACAAGACACACAGCACTTGAACGTAATTTCCAATGTTCAAAGTGACTCTGCCAAACACACAGACGCCAGTATGCTCGTGCCTAAAAACACAAAGAAGGAGCTTCCCCCTGAATTAGACAGAGGCCCAAGAATTACCAATGCTTTCTCTATGACTGAAGTATGTCCCGGAAACAATCCTTTCACCCCCTTGGCACAGGACAGTGGAGAGAGGCAGTCACCTGATGTGGGACAGCTCCCGTCAAACTACCCTGTGCCCTCCTGCTTTAGTGTGAGCAGTGAGACCACCCATACCCTCTCAGAGCACTCATATGCTGTGAGCCAGACTGCAGATGCAGCCGATAACAGCCAGAGGGACAACAAGAAGCTTTGTAAGCCTTCTATATCACAGTCAAAGCAACTCATGTATCGGAATGCAGGCCCTCTTAAAAAGCGCCACAGGTTGAGAGCCACTTTGACCAAAAGTATCCTTCCCACGCCAGGCGAAGCACACATAGATAACGTGAGTACAGCAGCTCAAACAGTAGATAATGCTGGTAGAGTAGCACCTGCTGCAGTCCTGACACCACCCGCTCTCATTTCAGTCGCAAACACAGACGCCACTTTTGACTGTGGACCACCCACAGCTGCAGATGACGCCTCAAACGAACTGGGTCCACCTCCACTCTCCCCTCAAACCCAGGAAAGCATTTCAGTCTATAGCTGTAACCACTGTCCAGAGCTCTTCACAACTCAGGCCCTTCTTGCCAGCCACAAAACAATCCATAAAAAACGCTTTGTTGGTCATTTATTTTGTAAGTTTTGTCGCAGAAAATTTATACATCTTAAACGTCTTCGCAACCATGAACAAGTGTGTCCAAAAGCTAATAGAGGCCCACCTAAAAATCTTATACAGATAGCCCCCTCAGAGGTAGAATCATGCTGCCAAAATGAATCAAATGAGGAGAGCGTGATGAGACAGCCCCAATCCCCTGGCCTCTGCACCACTGACATCCCAGAGTCTGAAAGTACGGACCAATCCAATCAGTTAAGAGCAGAAAAGACAATAATGACAAGTGCCAATCAGAGAAGATATAACTGCAGTGTGTGTAAGCGAGTCTATGTCACACTATCCAGTCTGAAGCGGCACGAAAACGTACATTCCTGGCAAAGGGCCTATCCATGCCATTACTGTAACAAAGTGTTTGCGTTGGCAGAGTACCGGACCAAGCATGAAATCTGGCACACAGGAGAGAGGCGTTATCAGTGCATATTTTGCCTTGAGACTTTCATGACATACTATATCTTAAAGAACCATCAGAAGTCATTTCATGGAATCGACCCCAGCCTGGCAGTGAAAAAGAAATCAGCCAATGGTGGACTCAAAGCTAGTGTTTATCCAATCAAACTGTACAGACTATTGCCAATGAAATTCCGTAAAACACGATATAAAACATATAGTAACACGTGGTCTGCTGCATCTGAAACAGGGGAACAGGGTGCACAAGACAATAGCCCTCTTATGCCTTCGTTAGAGGAGAGCTCCCATAATGCACCTCTCCCTTTGACATTCATGGTCACAACAAAGACCGTAGCACCAATTGTTCCTCATATCACTGTTGACAAACCTTGTGACCAGGGACTTGGCCAAAGTAAGAACTCTGAAAAAGACAATAATGACACATTCATGAGTTATAACAGCACTCTCCCTTTACAAGTGGACACAGAGGCTTCCACAGATCCTTCAAGTGTACTCATCAACTCTTTAAACAACATCAAAAAGCTCAACGAACTGTCTGCTTCGGCAAAAAAGGTTGAAGAAATGACAAAGGAGCTGCTTCAGTCAGGCCCAGAGAATCTTCTACAGCGCAGAAACGAAAAAACTGAAACATATATAGCCAAGCCTGCATGTTTGGGTCCATCTGCAGACGGAAACCCTCTTCCTCTGTGTCAAATCACTGTAAAGATAGGCAACGAAGCTATCATCCGTCGCAGAATCAAAGGCTCTAAGCTCTTTCCTAAGAAGAAAAGAAGAATGGCTGAGTTTGGACAAGCAGGCAAATCTAGCCTGGACTCAAGTCCTAGTATTAGACAAGATGCTCCCAAGACAGCAGAAGATCCAAATGACTGTGACAATACTGACATGCTCTGGCGTCCATACTATTCTTACAAAGCTAAAAAGAAGAAAAAGAAAATGAGGTTCGACAAACACATGTACGGTGGGCTTATAGATAGCGAGGTGGGTAAAAGTAGTAGGGGGGCAGAAGAACGCGTCTTATCCGGGAATGGGGAGTTGAAACGTACAATCTCAAGGTATAACTGTGACATTTGCGATAGTTCGTTTATAACAGAAAATGGCCTGAGAGCGCACATTATCGGTTCTCATCCATGTTTTTGTAGAACATGCGGTAAACAGGGTCCCCCGGGTGAGGTGCCAGCCGGAGGTGATTATGTCTGTAAGAATTGCATGGAGAACGGATCTTGTTTTGATAGCCAACCTCGAAGTCCTGGGATGGAGAAGAAATATCGTTGCTCTTTCTGTCCTCAGCGTTTCCTCTATCTGGCAACCAAGAACAGCCACGAAAAGAAACATCAGAATTCAAATGACAGCGAGTTTAATTTTGAGGGGTTCTCGCCGAAATATTCAGGAAACCAAAGCGAAGACAATAAGGAAGATATTGTCAAAGCTGAAGATAGCGACGACAGCCGGGATAACTTGAATATAAAAAGTGAAGAGGAAAATTATTTGATAGACAAACCTAAATCAGAAGACACAGATTTCATGTCCACATATGACGACAGTGCATATTCAAATGTAAAAAGTCCACTCTCGCCTTGTTTCGAGTCACAGTTTACCTTAGCACCCCCTAAGGTCAAGCATAAAAAGAGTAAAAATAGACACGAGGATTTGTATTCTAAAGATTCTATGCACCTAACTCCAAAAAAGAGATTTAAACATAAGGATGGTAAGAAAGATGTATGGTCAGGCTTAAACAGTGGTTTTAAGAAGTCTAAGAAACTTTTATGGAGTGGGGAGAGTAAAGACAGCGCTATTTCAAAGTGGGGGTGTAAAGAGGAACCATTCAGTGAAGATATTTAATTCTGCTATTACTTCAGTGTTTTTCTCACTTTTGTATTAATTTTTCAAAAAACCTAGGACTTCCTGACACACTCTTGTACTGTCTATGCATAAAGCTGTAGTGTATGCACATTGCACAATAATTAGCTTTTATTAACAAATTTAATGTTACTTTGAGAGACCGTTTAAATCACATATTTAAGTAACATGTTTTGCTCACTGTACATTGCACTTTATGGTAAATATACCTGTGACATGTCAACTTAAAGGAAAAAAAATGTTTGTGATAAACTTTCTAACACAACCACTCAAAATGAAGTTTGTTTATAATAATATGTTTGAAATGCAACATAAAATCTATTTAAATAAAAGTTGATAATGTTGGCTAATGTTCTATTGCATATGCATGGTTTTATGGGCTAGCAGGGACTCCAAGACTCCAGCATCTGAAATGTCCATCCTGAGTCTATTCCATGCAAACATCTGTGTTTGGAATCAGTCTCCAGACAATCTCCAGATGTTTGAGTACAGAGATTCAGTAACTAATATTAAACAATTTAGTTTCAGTGTAGGTCTGAAAACCTTTTCATCAAAGACATTATAACACAATAACCACAGCATCAGTTATTGTCATATCCTTCCATGGTTACTGTCCACTAGTGTGTGCTGCATGACTACAGTAAACAGTGTATAGTGCAGCCAGAAACGCACATAGTACAAACCTGTTTTCAGATGGGAATTATTGACAGAACCTGTAAATGATAAAAAGTGGTGTCCATTATAGCTTAAATGCATAATACTTACATTTAGAAGCAATAAAATAAGATACGCATTCGTAATAATGTGCATATATTTTAAATAGAAATAATGAAATGCGATATTTTAAACTTTTTGTGACTAAGTTCAAGCATGACTTCAAGACATCCATATTAGCAAGCTAACATGAGCATGTAGCCTGCGCACTGACCACAGCTTTTACTGTTGCATAACACTAATAAGCAACACCACTAAGAGTTAAAGCCCTTTAAAACTCCTACCATCGCAGAGGCAGGGACTTTGAAGAGTGGAGCAGTAGTCTGTAGTCCTGTTCTCCTGCCCAGAGCCGTGCGGAGGGGCGCTGATGTGACGCGGCAGTGGGGCTGGCTCTCCTCCGCTCTGCCTCAGTGCTCTGCCTGCAATCACACACGGATATGATAAACCAGCGCTGAACGCACCGAGACTCGGCTCTCACCATGGCGGAAGAAGACGACGCCAAGATACGGATTTTACAGAGTCTGCGGGGGAAAATCTGTAAGTGTATGAGGCAGGTCACTGGCCTGTGGGGTGGACGGGTGTGGAGAGCGGGAGTGCAGGCAGCTGAGAGGGGCGCGGCGGCGGTGTGCTGTGGAGGCACCCGTTCTTCTGGTCGGGCTGCTGCTGCTCTAGTGAACGTCAGGTTAGCCTAGCGTGCTAACTCCCGCTAGCGTGTTGTGAATGGCTTCATTCATCGTGCAGGGTCAGCCACAGCCTGTTTTAATGCCTGGACGAGGATGTCCCTAAAATGCAACAAGGCTATACGTTTAGTCTTTAAAATAAATAAATCAGACCTTGTGGTGCTGCCTAGGCTTTACAATGATGAGCATCAGGCTAGCTAACAACACTATAGGCTTCTACTGTCATAACAATTCAATTACCAATGTCTCCACTCACTGAAGGCATCTGGAAATCAGAATAATGATAGAAAACACAGAATAGCATTCATTTATGTAAAGAGCAGTGTACATACCGTCGGCATTAGTTACATGCACATACACTCGTGTTTTAATGAAAAAATCCCCTTGTCATGTTTATATTTAAAATGGTAATAGGCCCATGTTATTATTGACTATATCATAAGAAATTTACCTTACAGAGATCCAGATCTATCTGCATTTTATTTTATGTAAGAGAAAATTACTAAAAGTGTTACATTAACTGCAACACAGTGAGTAACAGTGGTATAGCCAGTGATTTTTGACACCATTTGACAATAATCTCTCTTACATTGATTGAAAAATTTCTTTAGACAGTGTTAAGTTGAAAATCAAAGGTTAAATTCACAGTAATGAAGGGTCCATAAATAACACAAATGTTGTTATACTACTATGATTTAATGAGAAAGCTGTAAGCAGAACAAAATAGAGGAACTACCATGGCATGTAACTCACTGCAGTCTTACGAAACTCCACTCTTCCTCGTTCACACTTTGTCCTTTTCCTCTAGCCTACATTAATGAAGGTGCTATTCCATGTAAGATTTCTCCAGATTAAACAGTGAGGATATTGCAACAGGTAGCATATATATTTTTGATATTATATTTATGTTTTTATGGAAATATTATTGAAGATTTCTCCTGTTAATCCAAAGACAGCATACTGAGCTAAGTGTTGGTGTTTTCTAACGAGGATATGTTTCCAGAGACCAATTTAGCCCAGTGTATGCCTTGCTAATCCACAGGTCTAAATCTGTGACTCATTGTAAAGATGTCATCAGGACAGTGTTGATGTTTGAGGATTAACTTTTTAACCTTCTGAGCACTATTTTTGTTTACACTGCTCAGAGGTCCAAGGTGTAAAGGAGAATAGATCTTAATGCGAGTATAGCAGACTGAAGTGTGAATGGTGTGCTGTCATTTGTGAATCAGCGCTGGTCCATCATGGTTTTGCTGAGGAAGTGAATGTTTCATGTTTTAACCACATATGAGCAACAAGTCGATTCATGCGACATCCGCCCTGTTACCTGCCTTGATACCACTGACAATCTGTGCGAACCTTAGTAAGGAATTTTCAACAAGCAATCATACTCAAAATGTTTAAAAAAATAAAATAAAAATAAGACAAGAAGTTAAACACTTTACCTCATGGTGTTGAAAGTTGCATTTTATATAATTGTGTTTTATGTAATGACTTTATAATAAGTTAGAGACGACAGTAAAAACATGTCACCGGATGCTCTTATAAAGTGAATATAAAGTTATTAGCATATAATAGTCAATTTTAGTTTTACCTCAATGTACACATATCTCACATTTAACCCTTAATTTAAATAAATGGCTTTTGTCATTCCTGCTTTAGTTTCACCCTTACATTATTATCTTTGTAATACCTGACATATAATGTAAGACAAAGTCATGATCTAAAGATGAACTATATATTAGTTGTTATTAATATTATTTATATGTATGTATTATATGTCATGCTAAATTAGAATACTCTAGGTACATTGCTTTAGTACGCTGGCAATGATTAACTTTTTCTATTTCTTTCAATGTGACAGGTGAAGCTAAAAATCTGGCTCCAGTCTCTGGACCAAATCGTCAAAGGGATCTCTGTACATTCTGCACCATAAGCCTGGATCAGGAGGAGGTTTATCGCACAAAGGTCTTTGATAAAAGTGTCAGGTAAGAAGCAGAATATTTCCTATATTTTATTAGTTCACATAATCAGTATTGTAACACTTGCATTGCACTTTGGCAAGGAAGATGATTTGATTTTGAACCATATGTTGCTGTTTTTGAATGAATTAATCTTAAAAATAATACAAACATAGTTTAACTACCACAAATTAAATATATTTCACAACCTCGTTTTTGTTCCTAACCCACCTGTTGAGATTCACTACTGTGTACTGTACTTTGAAGGCATCTTCCATTAAATTTTGTATATTGAATTTATTGCTCAAGATCGGCATCTACACATATTTTTACATACAAACACACAAGTTAGTCATATAGCTGCTTGTAAGTGCTATGTACAACTGGCCGCTGGGGCTGAACACAGATATGGTCCATTTGAAGCAGAGCCCATTTGAGTTTCCTATCTGCACCATTGCACAGCTTATTGTAAACACTGGTCTGTGTTCTGGTGGCATTTCACAACAGGCTTTTTCTCCCGATGTCGGAGCTGTTCAAAAGGGTTTTACATTCTCAGAGGAAGTGTGTCCTCCCACGCTCTCCTCTGTGTCACTCGCACCTACCTGAGTCTCTACATGTTAGAACGCTCATTTTTGGTCAATGTTTTTCATTATTTCAAGTCTACCATTGCATTCAAGAAGGGTTGTGCAGTTAATTGAATATGATATGATTTAGCAACACTCCCAGACCCACATTTTGTTATGATCTGGAAAATGGCTATGTTTTATTTTTGAAGAAAAACTTAACCCAAGTAACCACAGCTCAAGCTTAGCAGTGTGTGGTTCTAAAATTTTAAAAAGAATGTACTATGAAATTAATAATTAAAGTTCAGAAATTTAAATTATTCGTATTTGTTGAGATATTACACTGTATGTTAGTTTTGTTTTTATCTGCTGTTTTTGCTGTTTGTTTTTTAATAATGTGAAGCATTTAGTTATTGAAGATTTACTTACTAATTTATAATATTGCACAAAACAACAATAGCAATATTATCAATTTTGCAGTATATCTCCCATCTCCCATGCAACCTTCATTGAGTTTTGGTTTGGCCAATAAGTAGCAAATTGACACACACGCAACTGTCCAGCATATTTTGTTGACTTATGCAAATTGGCCCTATTGGATAAATGCAAATGTGTAGAATCTGTTTTGCTTCTCTTTGCAAGACATTGTATGGTGTTACATCAACGTTAGACCTCTGTTTAGAGTCAGGAATATGTTCAAGAATGTATTTTACTGTGAGGGTAATGGACTGCGCTAACTTTGGAGATGGGAACTGTATCGTGCAAAAATGTAGGCATGAAAAAAATCTTCAATAGAATTTATTGCCTTGATTTAGTCATTTGTGCATGCTTTATGTAACCGGAATCTTTGGCCTATTTCTTTACCACTACAGAGGCTGAAGTTACCTGAACATGTGCAATCTTGTATACTATGTTTGGAGTCAACAATTTTGCAAAAAGGACTTTATTTTACTGTGAGCGTAATGCGTACTTATGCCATCTTTTGTTTTGAGGTGTTTGCCCCTTTGCCTCATTTAAAATATTGACAGTTTAAGTAAGAATATTGTCTTTTTGCACCCCTTTGGAACTTGAATGCATCCTGTCAGTTTGGCCTGGCAGCTGTATGCATTCATTTAGTTGTTTCATACCAAAAGGCAATACCAAGGTTAATTTTGGTACATAACTAAGGTTTATAATTGTTTTCCTTCTCTTCTTTTTTACATTTTCACCTAAGCAATATTTTGGTCTAATGTTTGTACTTGTAAGAGTCTGAAGTTACCCGAACATGTGCAATCTTGTATACTATATTTGGAGTCGACAATCTTTCAAAAAGGACTGTATTTTACTGCGTACTTAGTCATTGTTTTGTTTTGAGGTGTATTATACATTCAGGCCTGGGATTTCAATTGTGAAAAAGGGATTACATTGAAACCTAATTTAATTTAATAATGTTTGCAACTTTATGTAATTTAAAATAATGACACTTTAAGTAAGAGTATCGTCTTTTTGCACCCTTTTGAAACTTGGATGCATCCCGTCACTTGGACCTGGATAATTGTTTTCTTTTCTTCTTTTTACATTTTCATCTAAACAGTATTTCTGTCTAGTGTTCTGCGCTTGTAAGAGTCAGAAGTTACCTTGACATATGCATTGTAATCCCGTGCAAAAGCCTAAACCCCGGTCAGTCTGTTTGGGACAGGTGGTTCAGAGCATGTTGTGCTTAGCCCACAGAGTCAGATGAGTACAGTCCGGTGGAGAGCCAGAGCCTGGAGGTGCTGGACTTGGCAGGACTCTGGGGCACAGACGTTTGGCCTTCTCACATGAGCCAGTTTACACACAGAGCACAGACCAGACACATGTAGCTTTCTCCCTATTACAGGAAATGTTTCATTCTAGAAGAAATGTGCATTACGTATAAACAAATCTTGCAATTGATTTTTAAAGTATAGAAAATCGTAAAATAGTAAAATGTCTGTTTCTTTTTTTTTTTTTTTTTTTTTTACTTAGTCTGCTTTATTATTGTGAAAGAAACTAAATTACAAGCCGATAATTTAAAAAAAGTTGAGGAACAGACTAATAAAATTCCTGTCCATTTTTTTTAACAAAATGCAGTTATCTTTGGTTTAAATGTTTTCAGTTGTAAATTTACATATCTGCAGGAACAATGAGTCCAGTCGTGCTGAGTCAGAAGAGCACCCTGTGTCCACCTTCTGTTCAGCTCAGATCCACCTGCTTCACCGCACACAGCGCCATATGAGCAAAGAGAATCCCCTTTACTTTACACCAAGCACATTGCCCTGACATAACTTCAGCCCACAGCTACAGCCATTCATTTCAGTTCCAATCTGGAGGAAATGTTTGACTAAACCAGCAGATGAAGCAGCTGAAATTTTTCTCTTGAAAGTTGTGTTTTCTGTCAAGGAGATTATGACTGCAATTAACAATTATTACTAGTCAACGATAATTTAATATAATTTTATCTATATATTTTTTGCTAATAAAACAGTTATTTGAGATTTTGTAAAAAGGTTGAAATTTTGTGATATAAAAGAAGAATAAATAGAGATATAGGAAATGTATCATTGATAAAAATCCAGTGTAGTTTTTTTTTACATTTTCATTGAGTAATGCTTCTGTTTTTGTTATTAAAAGGTCTTCTGGCATGTGTTTTAGAGTCTGTATAGTCCAGATGAGATAAGGATTGTCAGAATATGATTAAGATTATTTTAATAGTCAAACAGTTATGATTATTTCTATTAATCAGTGCACTCCTGGTCTGTGTGTGAGGTAGCTAAATAATTTGCAATGTGGTAAAAATATTTACTTCAGTTGTCAGGATGGTTTTCAGCTGATGACAGATTTATTTATTGATTTGGAATAATCCATGTATTTAAGCTTCTTTATCTCTAATGTGAAATAGTTGTACCCAAAGGCAGTGAGAGCAACATATACACTAATGTTAAAAAGTTAGTTCATGTTCTACAGTAAAACATTTACCTCCAAACAAGGAAATATTTGGCTGAATCATGGTCTCTAGTTATGCTGTTGTATTTATTTTAAACTTATCCATCTGTCATACTCATCTGGGCATGTTCTTGTTTTGCAGCCCTTTCTATGGAGAAGATTTTTACTTTGAAATCCCACGGCCATTTCAGTGTTTATCCTTCTACGTATATGCCAAAAGCGTTTTTCAAAGGGAACTCCCAATTGGTAAGTTACATTATAAATGATCTACTGCGCTGTATGTATTTCAGAGTGTTCAGGTAATAGTAGATATTCTTGTTTTAGGCAAAGTGTCAATACGAAAGGATGACCTGTGTAAATACACCGGGAAAGAAGACTGGTTCAGCCTACAGCCAGTCGACCCCAACTCAGAAGTCCAGGTAAAAGAAAGTCCTTTTTAGATTTGTAGTAGTTGTATTATTAGTTTATTTTATTCAGTCATGTACTTAGATTGTTGCAAACATTTCACATAAAACTTGGATTCATTTAGTGGTTTATATGTCTCTTCTCTCAAATGTTTATGCTTCTGGACATGTTTAGAATATACTTAGAAAAAGGAAAATTGACTAAAAACATGAGTGTTATTGCAATGCTAATCTGAAAAAATTACAATCAGATGTTTTAGAATTGTTCATCCCTAAACTAGATTACACAGGAAATTCACATGCATTATCTCACAAATGCTTGATGAGACGATTATTCTCTTGACCACATGTTTTTCAAGTTGATTAAGAACTTTGAATTGTACAATAGGTGGAAATTATGGCCTTCGCTGAAAAATGTTAACTGCAATTTAGATCAGTTTTAGTTAAAAATTGACTTGTGTGCTGGTGGAAAATACAACGCCACTTGTGAGTAACTGTAGCTAACGTGTTGACTCCCAAAAGCCCACGCCTGACTATTCTTGGTGCTCTGTTCCACGGATTCACTCACAAGGAGAGACTTTTAGATCCGACTTTCTGTTTAGAGCTACAAATAACGATTAGTTTAGCAATCAACTAGTCACCAATACATTTTTTGATTAATAGATTAGTCAAACTGTTGTTTCTATTGTACAGTGAGATTTTTAAAATACATTATCAGTCAAATAAAGACTGAAATATGGTGACTGGAGACTTCTAAAGAGAATCTTAAATATGTTAAATATAAATTGTATAGTTGATTTTTTTGACTAGGCATGGCACAATATTCAAATTTGATGTCACAATTATCACAGTTAAAATAATCGCAATTAACGATTATATCACGATAATTATTAAAGTTGCTGACAGTTTAAAAATGTTGTGCATAAGATTAATTATAATTTTAATAATGTTTAAACAACTGTTCGAGAATTGTACTTTGTTATGAGTGAAAACAACAATGATCTAGAAGAAAACATCAAGGATAAGTGGCTTTTTCTACACATTCTGGTGATATAATGGCGATAATTTTTGTTACTGATTATCATGATTATTTAAAATGTCCCATGGATAATTATTGTTTACCCTTTTTATCACGATATTATTGTTTATTGTCACATCCCTATTTTTGACATTTTGATTAAATAAGTTCCTTACGTTTGAGAGTCTGTACAGTCCAGCAACAATAGAGTAACAATGAAATATAATTAGGCTTATTTTTATATAATCAGCTATTCATGATTAATAGATCAATCATGTTCAGGTTTTTTGACTGTCCCGTTTAAAAGGTTTTTGGCACGTGCTGCTAAACAGGTGACCCAACAGGTGAAGCGTAATCAGGCCACGATAGTACAAAGCAGTTAGTCTTATGTGGGCTTAAGAGCCTATCTACGTGCATTAGAAAGAACCACGGTGTTCACCAAATGCCAAGCTGCAGAGACAAGGCGCAGTGTGTGGGTGCTCCCTCTCTATTTCTCTCTCACACTCTCTTTATCTCACTCACATTCTCTCTCGTTCTCTCTCTCTTTTCCTGATATTTCTCACTCTGACACTTCCGATGTCCGGCCCTTACCACATCCGAAAAACACAGATCTTTAAAAATGATCAACAAATCTTACATCCTCTGGCATCCTTTTCTCACGCATCAGTATCCAGGTTGTTTTTTTGTTTTTTTGGTTTTTTTTTTACAACCTACAAAAACTTTAAGCTACCATTCAATGAGTAACTTTAGGCCCATTGAAATTCCATGACCCAGGAATTTTAACATCAAGTCCCTCTGTCTCCTTGTGTCTGACAGGGTAAAGTTCATCTGGAAATGAGGCTGGATGAAGTTATCACAGAAAATGGCTCATTGTGTCAACATTTACGAGTCAGGTGAGTGGTACAGTGTCCATTTGAAAAGATACAAGGTGGTGGGAGACTGGTATTGAGAGCAAATATAGCAATACAGACTGTTTTGAGCAGCTGATCACACTATGCAATGCACAAATCTTTGAAAATTAAGTTTAAAAATTGTGTGAACTAAAAAATCAAAAGGTTCTGTATTTTTGGATACCCTTCTCCATGGTACAATATTATCATAAATTGGAGTATTGACCACTTTTGCCAATAAATACTACTAAACTGTGCTCTCTCTGTGGTAGCATTTCCATTCAATTTAATGGTGAATTAGAGAAAAGTTTTGCCGCTAAAATGTGATATAAAGAAGGTTGATTTGTGTAAAATGTTGAGCGTTCATCAGCACCAGCACATCAACAATGCACCAATTCTCTGGGAGACTTTAAAATGGCTTTGTAATCTATTAAATATCACCAAGTTCCAGCTGGTTTTCATTGGTGATTTTTAGTTCCCATGACGTGCTCAGACTTGCCCGTTTCTTTTGTTCACATGAATTTTATTTAAATACATTTGCATCATACAGTAGCGTCCAAAACCAGGCCTTCGCAACCAGGTCAAACATTTCAGCGTGCCTGTTGCTTTAAGATGCTTAGTTCTTTCACCTAACAATCTTCACCCTTATCTGTTTAACACACTGTAAGTACAACTGCGTGTGACATATGCTGGTTTCCCATTGACACAGTGCGCAGGGTAGTGAGGAGGAAGTGATGGCATGAGAGCAGGAAGTGGGAGCTTCTCAGTGTGGCCTCTGCGGTTTGTGCTGCCGTCACTCACAGTAGCCAACTGTTTGCTCAAACTGTCACCTGCTGTTTATCATGTACAGAGCTGATAAACCACTTATTTATTTATTTACAAAACAGGGACAGTGTATTCATTTCCATTTTCTTCTAATAACAAAAAATCGCAAAAAGCTTGTTTACTTGGCTAACGATAGGACTTTCGCCTTCATCAAAGGTCGACCTCTGTTTGTAAATTTTTTGCCCTTTTTTGTCTTATTGAAATTAAATTTCTTTTTGAACTAATATTCAAAAAGAAAACATATGGAGTTTTCTAAATATAGGGACAGTACATATTAATGAACATATGTTTCACGTGCAAATAATATGCTAAATTACTTCCTAAAGCCGTGGCAGGTGATAATTATGATTGCACAGGATTAAGGTATCTTTATCTTTATGTCTCCTGAAAAAATTCAGGTCACACAGAATGGATTCTTGTGAGTTTTAACGCATGTTATAATGTTGTTGCCTCATCAAAACGTATTCATAGTTGTGTTTTGTTTCATCTATCTGTTAATGCAAGGAACGTCTGTCTGTGTTTCCTCCTGTTGGTTTGTTTGTTTGTCTGTTCCACGCATGTTTTTGATGAGGATACAACGTTATAACATAATTCAGAAAATACCGTAATATGGGCACTTTAACATACATGACAACAGGATCAGAATTTACTTTACTTTTATTAGGATCAAAATGGGAGCAATCCACCACAGCACACTCATGAAGGGTCAGGCAAAGGAAGAATCAATTCACAATCAATATGACAAATCATCAGCCTCTATCATAAATTGTTTTTGAATTTATAAACATAATCAGCTTTTCTTTTTTTTTTTCTTGTGCTACAACAGTGCTTATAAAGTCCTAATAAAGAAATAAGGATGTATATATTGCACCTCTCTCCTAAATGACCCAGAAAGTATTTATACTACAAAGCATAACAGGGCATTTTTGCAGATGGTTTACTATGTGTGGTGGGAAAAACAGGTTGACTTGTGGGATTTGGGGAATATTGTCATGACAGTGTGTAAGGTATAACACAAACATCCTGAGAGGCGTGTGCCGTGTGTCTTTGACCTCACGCGGAGATGGGCTCACCCCCTCTGCGCACCCGCTGACTACTGCTAACACCCACATCCTGTTATGGGTGCAGACACTGTGTTTGTTGTCATGTGCAACAACAAAGGCAGTGGCCCCTGTGTGGGTCCCTGTGTGACCCCAGCAAACAGGTGCTTCACTTAAGAGACACTGGAAGGTTATTCTTAGAGACACATTTGTAGTATAATTGTGGTTGTCTTGTCACTTATTGTAATGAATGCCTAAAAAAGTACAGTGATTCTTTTTGCTGAATAGACTTGGACTTAGACAAGCTTTATTGATCCATAAGGGAAATCACACAGTAGCTCACATGTCACATTATATTACGATAACAAAGAGAAAAAATATAAATGGTAATAATAAGATCTAGACAAGTAGCAAAAAAAAGCAAGAGACTGGTGTCAAATAAGGTATAATTATAGAATAGAAAAAAATGTAATAATAATTGAATTGCACCTTTATTACCTTAAAACAAGTTTAAACTGTTTAAGTAAATTGAATAATTTTGTTTCAGTTAAAGTTACACTATGTATGTTATCTGGTGGAGGGTCTGTCACCTGCTTGTCTCATGAAAATGTTATGTGTTTGCCACAGCATGTTAAAAACGCATCTTATCTTTTATTTATTCTGATTAAAGGCTCTTTGTTGCCAAAAAACGTTTAACGGAGTCACCTGCTTGTCTCCACCCAGAACAGTGGCTTTTAAGGCTTTGGTCGACTCAAGAACTTTTTGGTGACTAAAGACATGTCCTGCCAATCGATTAGTCAACTACTGAGGGGGTGTGGCAAAAGCTCTTAAAACTTTTCAGTGTCTATGATATTGCCATGTAATTGCACATGAGTTCATCCAAAAACAAATATTTAAACAGGCACATACTTGGAAACAGTGTATTTATATGCAAAAAGAGAAATTAAACTCATGATTCACTCCCAAATCTTAGGCTAGCTCCCTTCATGCCTTCTCGTTTCTGTTGTTCTCACTCTGCCATATGACCCTCTTTTCAGTTCCTCTAGTCATATATTTTGCATTATAAGGTAATTAGTGGAAAATGTATTCAAATGTATGTATCTCTTGTATGTTTCCAGAAAAATAGAGTGCCAAGGCCTGCCATTGATAAGTGGGCAGAACTGTGACCCGTATGCAACAGTGTCACTTGTTGGACCAGCCAGGTAAGTGCTGTTTACCACACAAATAAGACTGTCATTCAACTGTCTATTAATGCTGTTTTTGAGTTGCATCAAATATTTGCTTTTTGATTTTCTGTTAGGTCTGACCAGAAGAAAACAAAAGTTAAGAAGAAAACAAGCAATCCTCAATTTGAAGAGACCTTTTTATTTGAGGTAAGCGATTGCAGTATCATATTATATGACATGCTTGCATTTACATGACAATATTCTGTGGGTTTTCTAATAGGTCACAAGATCGAGCAGCTACTCAAAGAAGTCCCATTTCCAGGTGGAAGAGGAGGACATTGAGAAACTAGAAATTAAGTGAGTATATATTGCTTGCTTTTCTCACAACCGTCTCAAGTGAGGTTGGAGAATTATGGTAAACAAATAAAATGTTTTAATTATGTGAAATGTGTACTATAGTGTGTGGTTTACTATTTTTAAATTAAAGAACCGGAAATGAATTTGAGAAAGTCAATTTGGATATGGAGTTTCTGACTACTGGTAGAGAGAGCCTTCGTTTCTGGTTAAGGATAAGTGGGGCTCCCATCACAGTGGACTCATAGCTCTCTGGGTAAGGCTAGTCTTATTCCAAGGTAATGTCCCATGCATGGTTTTTGAGGCGTGAATTTGAGGTGGTGTCATTGCAAGGACAGTATATTCCAATAAATACACACACCAAGCAGGTAAGCATAATAAGTACACTTTGTGATTTGAGTTGTGTGATTTTGTGATGAACTCTTGAGTACATCCAGCATTTTCACTGTTTTCAGAGCTTGAGCTGATGGTGACTGTGCATGCAGACACATTTATATACAAATTTATGCTCTCTTTTTTCAGAGTGGAATTGTGGAACAATGAGAATCTGGCTCAGGATGTGTTTTTGGGAGAGACGCGGGTTCCTGTGAAGATCCTGCAAAATGACCACATCCACAAAGCCTGGTAAATAATATGGTTCAAATAAGTACAGTTCACAAACAGCTCTTTTTAAAGGTGCACTATCCTGTTTTTACATGGTTTATGCAACATTGTAATCAGTCACCTCTGCTAAATACTTCTGTTATACGAGTTAGTTCAGTTTGAGCTGCTTAATCCTAAATACACTTCAAATATAATTGTTTGGATGTGTTTCAGTTGGAGTTGGCAGCATTAGTAACAGGTGATTTGAAAATCCTCACTGATCTTTGAATGTTCAGCAGTTTGCAGTGTGGGTGTCACCTAGCTTTGCGTCAGCGTAGGCGATGTGGGATTATGCTAGATAGCAATCTGTCAGTACATGAGGGCTGAAAGTCAAGTGCGTGGGTGGCGTTTTGCATGGTGGCAGTACCTGCTGTCCTGTGTTTATGATAGAAACCTTCAGCGTCACAAACAAAGAGGACTTTATTAAAAAGGAGGACAGGTAATGTGTCCACAGCAGACATGGCTGTGTCACCAGCACTGAGCGCTATCAGCAGCTTAAGGACAAACAAGCAGCTCAAACTGTGTGTTTTTGTGGGGATGTGCTCCACCTGTTGGTCTTTATGTGCCATATCAAGCCTGATGTAACAGAATTATTACTGTTTTTCATTTCTATATTACAAGTTTATTTTATGCTTAATAATTGATCACATACTGTAGTTTTATAACATGCATCAGTGGGACCAAAATTATTAAATTAAATCATACAATCAGTGTTATTTTAAGTTGTTAAACATAAAATGCATGTTTGTCACTATCAGAGTGAGAACAAACAAAAGGTGCAGAAAAAAATCAAATGCAAAAAATCAAATGCAGAAGAAAAGCAAATAAATATGTCAAAACATCCAAGTAACTTAAAAAGAAAATATGAAATGCAATATGTAATGTCTTATAATTTGTGTAGTGTACCTTGCATGTTGAATAACACAACTGGAACATGTCATTTCTAAATAATCAAACCACTTTCTTGGTCCCAAAGGTATTTACTTCAGCCAAAAGGGAACGGCAACAAGTCTAAGTCCGATGATTTGGGATCATTGCGTTTGAGACTGACCTACATAGAAGACACAGTGCTGCCCTCTGCCTGTTATACTCCGCTCTGCAACCTGCTGCTCAAATCCCCTGATGTGAAGGTACATGCTTACCCCTGCACTAAAATCTAAAAGTATTTAGAGAACACCCTTGAAGAATGAACTTTAAGTATATGACATCCTAAAGATTAGTAGTATGAGATTCCCTTCTCCTTCTACTTGTCTGTTTTGTATCATATGATGTACTCATCTCGGCTTATGTGTATGGTCAGCCCATCTCGGCGTCAGTGGCACATATTCTGGGGGAGATCTGTCGAGAGCGTTATGAGGCAGTGCTGCCCATGGTCCGCCTTCTACTCTACCACAGTCGCTTTGTGCCTTTTGTGTCGGCTGTGGCTGCTCTGGAGCTGGACAACACTCAGTGAGTTCTTCAGTACACACATTATACACGACAATAGTGAGGGCTGCTCTGCTCTGTTTGATAATACAAGTGTCTGTGGAGATTCTCGGTTGCCAACTGCATACACTAATGATTAATCCATATTTCAATCTTCTTGAAGTTGCCTTGTCATACTCAAGAGGAAATCACAATGTTAGTGAAGACAAGTGGAAATTTTGAGAATTATTGGGCTGGTTTATCATTACATAGAGGAGATATTGTATCTCAATGAGACTGTAATCATTATTAATGCTATCATTTTTTAATAGTGTTCAGTATTTTGATTATTTTCCAAATGACAAAGAACTCATTTAATCATCTCTCCTGTATTTATTTTTTAGGGAGGCAAACACTATTTTCCGTGGCAACTCTTTAGCAACGCGGTGTATTGACGACATGATGAAGATTGTGGGAAAGAACTACCTGGCAGTTACCTTGAAGCCGGTGATAGACGAGGTGAAGACGCACAGAAATGTTTGAATGTTTTTGTACATCTGATATTGTGGGCCATATTTGAATCACTTTACATGTCAGCAGCTGATGAGGGTTTGCTCTAATTCATTAGATCTGTGAATCCAATAAAACCTGTGAGATCGACCCGGTGCGACTCAAAGAAGGGGATAATGTCGAGGCCAACAAGGTAGAGCATCTTTGACTTTGTTGTTGAGCAGTCTGCGAGGGAATTAGTTCATTAACAGTATGGTGCTGTTTTGTGTCAGGACAACCTCCAGGGTTATGTTCAGAAGGTCTTCTCCTCCATCACCCAGTCCAGCGCCAACTGCCCCCCTCTCATGTGTGACGTCTTCAGGTCTCTCCGACATCTGGCCTGCAAACGATTCCCAGGTAGATATTTTCTTTGCATTAGTCATATTCTATATTTTTTGAGCATAAAGAATTGTTACGCAGACTTTGGAAAATGAGTATGTGTATGTGTATCCTGATGTTTAAAGAATGTGAGGAATTGGTGGAAACAGAGCTGTCGTGGAAGGTGTTTTTGAGGCCTTAAAAACTATTGTATTGTGTAAAAAAGCTTGAATTGAATAAAACAAAACTGAACTTTTCACAATTCTGATCAGAGCTTTTCAATATCTAAATGAATGCAAATTTCCATAATTACAGCTGTCAGTATACAAATCATCCAGAAGGTGGAGATAGAACTTCAATATCAGTCTTTGAACAACCAGCTGTTTTTCCATACACAGATTAGATAATTTACTGTTCTTTTATTAATTATCAAATGTATTTATCAGATTCAAAAACAGCAGAGACCTGGAGCTGCTGGTATCCATATATCCAACGGTTCTCATGAAAAAGGGCACAGTTCATTGAGAGAAAACAAATAATATGCAAAATATTTAAAAACCTTTATTTGAAGATAATAAGATATTCATCAGACATAAAATATTAAGTATTAGTCCTATATATTTGATTTTTTTGTCCAAATTAATCAATATAATATTATTCAGATGACCTTTAGTCCTTCTCTCCACAGCCGACCCACACGTGCAGTACTCGGCTGTGAGCAGCTTTGTGTTCCTGCGCTTTTTTGCTGTTGCTGTACTTTCGCCTCACTCCTTTCAACTCCGCTCCCACCACCCTGTGAGTATATGCCCACATTGTCCCCACAAAGCCCCCACAAAGCTCTCACATTTCACTAAAGAGAGTCTAATGTATGTTTGATTCTAGGACCCAGATATCTCACGGACACTCACTCTCATCTCTAAAACCATCCAGACTCTGGGCAGCTGGGGCAGTTTATCTAAAAAACTGGTAATTTTTTTTTTCCTACTAATACATTTTCAAAAAGAAGCTACATTCAGTTTTTTTATAGATTTCAAAGCCAAAAATTCAAATTGTGATTTTATATTAATTTCCTTATCCCCGATTTCAGTCTAGCTTCAAAGAAACATATATGTATGACTTCTACAAATCATTCCAAGAAGAGAAGTGCATTGAAAAGGTTAAAAAGGTAAACATCTGTTTGTTTAAATGTCATGAAACTGTGTATGCGTTTGGTTAATTTTATCCATGTTTATCTGTCCAGTTTCTTGATGAGATTTCATCAAATGTCAATAAGGAATTCAGCGGGGTGGAGGATGCCCTGATTCTCAAAGAGGGGTGAGTTTGATAAAATAGTGCAACTGATTGAATTAAGCAAATTAGTATATTTCGATCATTGTTCTAAATGCTGTAAATCCTTTACAGAGAAGTTCAGAAGCGTGCCCAAGGAAGAAAACGTCTTGGCAAGAAAAACTTTAAAAAGAGATGGCTTCGACTCACCAACAGAGAACTGTCTTATCATAAACATAAAGGTGAGATGTGGCCTTTCCCTCGGGGGCTTTATTTATCCTTTTGTCAGCCTAAAGGTGCACTTAAAGGTGCACTGTGTAACTTTATATTGGGGCTCTGCCACTTGCTTTCAGAAGGTACCTTCAAAAATGTGCATTCTTACTCCTGAGCAGCCTGGATTCTCAACAATCTTATTGGTCACTGAAACCTGCTTGTCTCCAGGGTGGTGGACACTGCACCAGAAAAGTTTCATAGTGCTCCTTTAAGTTTAATCATTTTAAATTTGCTGCAAATCAAGGTTGAGAATGTGTTTTGTTTTCCAGGGTATGTTTAAGGGTGAATTGTTTTCTTGAAATGCTCAATTTAATATTAAAGCATGTTTCTGCAGAGGTGCAGACAAAATGTACTTGTTTCTTAGAGTAGTTCAGTTGATAAATGTAAGTTACGTTCAATGTAAGATACATTCATTTATTGGGAGTAATTGGTCTCATTCTGATGTGTCATGAAATATTGCAGATATAGATGAATTAAACCTGCAGCTCGGGGCTCAGCTCAGGCCAGGGTGTTATTGTTGGAGTGGTTCTGATGCAAACTTGTGCTTTCAGGGAAAGAGGCCCTCTGCACCATAAGTGTCAAAAACATCCAGGCTGTGGAGAAACTGGATGAAAGTGCCTTTAACCGCAAAAATGTAAGTCCTGTCCCCATAGACCCCCATCATCAGTCTGTATGGTTTTCTGTCACGTATGCACCAAGTGAAAACAAACCCAGTGTGGTCGGGCTGTTCTGGTGCTCTGGTCAGTAAAGCGATAAAGATCTTTGTGCTGCACAAAACATCTAATAGTGTCAATAATATCTTATTTGGATTTAAGAGTAAAGTCTTACACATTTTTGTATAACTGGCTACAATAGCCCTTGGACATATTGTAGTGTGTTTGAGTCTGTGTCAGACTGATGTTTTGTGTGTGTCAGATGTTTCAGGTGGTGCACTCAGAGAAGCCCTTATACGTACAAGCAGGAAACTGTGTAGAGGCCAGTGAGTGGCTGGAGGTGCTGGGCCAGGTGAGCCGCTGTAACCAGGGCCGTCTGGAGAGTTTTCACCCATCCACCTTCAGCGGGGGAGTGTGGCAGTGCTGCAGGAGCCAGAACAGCAGTGCACCAGGCTGCAGGCCATGCACCACGTGAGTGTCAAACAGGAGGAGGGAGACTCACACAAGACGATTTTACACTAATCAATACCAATACTATAATAATAATAAGAAGAAGAATTACAGAATTAAATAATTACAAATTCTAAATGTAAAGCAACTTAATGAATTTAATAATGTGGTGTATTTCAAAATGTATTTTGTATGTCCTGTAGTACAATGCTGGCTAACCTGCAGCTGGACATTGACTGTGATCGAGAAACAGAGAGGATCTTCTCTCTTCTGTCCTTAAATGACACCAAGCTACACAACATGGAGGGTGAGTACTCCAAGGTCAGTGTTTGTGTGTGCTGTGTAGCTGTTGTAATTCTTTGTGTGTTAGTCTGTCAGTGCAGTTTGTCTTCTCCACTCCTCACTTCTCTACCTCAGTGTTCTTTGAGAACAAGATGGTTATATCTTGTGTGTGTTTTGTTGCAGATGCTTGTGCCGCCTTGGCGGTGTACCAGGGCCCTCAGCGGGAGCAGGATGAATACTCCAAATTCACCATTCAGGAACCCAAAGAGACCTTTCAGACACTCAAACAGCTGCGCAACGTGATGGAAGAGCTGCAGCGCCAGCACAACCTGCGGGGGGACACCACAGCGCAGTACGGCAGTCTGTAAGTCTGCAGCCCACATCCTCATGACACAAACACACAGCACCAGAGCACATTCTAATGAGAGTTTTTTGTTCCAGGGACAATCCAATCGTAGGGAAGACCTCATAAGTGACAGTGAGAGTGTGCAGTGTATAACCTGCACTACAGTGAAGTCCAGTGGACCTGGAGTGGACCACAGAGCCACAGGTCCTGAACTGTGGAAACACGACCAAGAGTCAAATGTGAAGAAGCCTGTGGCGCACAGGACCCGGAGGCACAGAAGGGTTTCTCCCCATTTTGAATCATGGGCACATTACAGGGGAGTCTATGTTGAAATTATTTATATCATATCATCAATGCCCTTTTTCATATCCAAAGCTGTGTGAAGAAGGCATCATTAGATGGTGTGTGAATAGGCTGCTAATTTTTTTATTCATCCACTTTTATATAAATACCTGTGATCATTTAAATGAGTCCTATAAGGATAATGGTCTATTCAGAGACAAGATGGGCCATCTACTTTTGACCCTTACAATCTTTCTGCCCATAGTGTCTTTACCTTTCCAATGAATGTATATATTTCATCTTTAGATACACTTACTTTTCCAGTTTTTACGGTGAGTAGATCAGACCAATCTGCCTTACTTTGATGGATGTTTTTCTCACATTAAATGCTGAGGGAATAATGCAAAAGCACTTTAAATATTTGGAGCTTTCCAAATAGACATGACTAGATACTTAGTATCAGCTACCCCTTCGATCAGTTCCATGATCTCCAGTACGTGTTGTTCATTCAGTAATATGACATTTATTGCCTGTAGATATAAAGATATTTTTCTTGACCAAAGAAAATTTCATAGATTTGACTTGAAAAGGAAAAAAGAATTAATGTATTTTCATGACAGATGTTTTAAAATGGACAAGTCTTTATCTGTGTATGTGTGTGTTTAACATATCATTTATTTGAAGTTGGATGTCTTCAGAGAGAGAAAGAGAGAGAGAGAGAGAGAGAGAGAGAGAACTCATGGCTGTGGTGTCTTTGTCATTCTTTGGCTGCTTCTCAATTCTCTTTCCACACTTCCTTCTCCTTGATTCCTCTCCTCGATCCTCCATTTTTCAACTGTCAATCAAATGTGTCATATTAAGTGGTGTCCCAAAGAAAACCACAGACTGAAGGAGTAAACCTGAGGATGGCTTCAGGCGCAGACATCACATAAAAGAATCAAACTTTATTGGACTCAGTGAGGAGTTTATATCCTCTCTCCTCCCTGTGTCTCCTCTGTGGGCGGGACTTCCTCACCCATTTCCTGCAGAATGGAGGAGAGAGGAATCAAGGGGAAGGAAGTGAGGAAAGAGAAAAGAGACACAGCCCATGTGGTACTGCATTAAACACATGCTAGGGCCTAAAGTGACAAGTGACGGTGCTAAAATGAGCGTTATGAGTCACCTAATAACAGCCAACTAACATAAAACATATTACTGTTTTAGCCATTAACAATGCCAATACTGTTTTAACTCCTTGCTCTGTACTGCCAGAACCAACCAATTCATTCATTTTGATTATAATTTTAAGAAGAAAACACCAGCACATGTTTAATATACAGTACCTGAGTGTAGTTTTGTCAAATTTATTCACATCCAGCATTCACCATCAAACTGAATGTTTTTGACCATATCATTTTCCCTATTGCCTATATACGAACAATGAAGTGTTAATACAAGACATACAAGACTTGAATACTCTTTGACATATGATGGACCAGTCGATATTGTTAAGGGGGTCTTTGCCCTCCTGTTTATGTGTTTTATTTAACTGTTTTTATCAATGATGTGTAATGCCACTGTTTTGACATTTGTCTTTGTCTCCACTATTTTAACATTCTGCAAAACCAATCACTCCAGAAAAAAATTATATTTTTCAACCACATTAGACCAGTTTCAGTTGCTAAAAATATTGAAAGTGAATCAAATTGGGCAATTTATGTATTTTGGCGAATCAAAATTGGAGCATTTCTTCAGAAGAGTAGCTACAGTGCGGTACATGAGTTTAGATCATGACGTTTTTTGACAGTCATGCCAAAAAACTCTCAAATCAAGCATCAAGTATTATTCAGTTCTTCAAGTTGTTTTTTCCAACTTGAACTTTTCTGGCGACAATTCCCAAAACCACTCCAGCAGCAGCATTTTAATCCTGTTTACAGACATCACATTACACCAGACAAGCAGTCATTCTCAGTGCCAGTTCAATGAAGATTTATTCTTAATCAGTTTTCTTTTTAAGGGAACATTCTGCCTCCTGTACACAATAATCACAAAAAATTTTATCGTTTTAAAGCTAAATTTGACAACGTTTAATTTTTGGTACATGAGGTGCGTTTAAAACTGTACTTTTATGAACAAATCTAAGGGAAGATCTAAACATGCTTTAACTTATCTGGAAAATAAGCTGTCTGTGCAATCATCCCATTGCCAATATACTTCAAAACATTTCAATTTTGTATGTTTTTACTGTTGTTTTTATGTCGGAATATGTAAGGAATCCTCAAAACTCCATAAAGTGTGTGTTTTTTATGTTTTGTTTTCCACTTGTTTGTCACTTTTGTCCAGTTAACAATAAACCAGTTGCCAGTCAAGCTTGAGTCATGATTTCATGATGTCACAAAATTAAATAAAATGTTAAACTGGGAGAGTCAATGGGGGGGATACACACACCGCGAATTGAACCCTCTTCCTGTTCATTTATATTAGAGGAGGGCCTATGTGAGGCTTAATTTCTGTCGACAGGCCAATTTTAAACATACAGGAAGTGCCCAGATAACCCAGTTAAATACAGTAAACTGTAGATTAAATCATTTTAATGCGGTTTCATTTAAAGGTGCACAATGGAACTTTTCAGGTTTCCCATAATGTTCCACATTAAGCATTAAGCTTCAGTCTTCCATTTATTCAGATAGAGGTGTTTTTACCAGATGTGGGGTCAAGTCGTTGTTTTGCAACTCTCAAGTAAGTCTCAAGTCTTTGACCTCAAGTCCGAGTTAAGTCCAAAGTCAAAGACAGGCAAGTCCAAGTCTCGAGTCACTGGCCCATAAGTCCAAGTCAAGTCCAAGTCGTTTGCTTTGAGCTTCAAGTCATTTCAAGACTTTAAGCCAAAGGACCAAATATAGCTTTGTTTTTTACAATTTATATAATTTTTAGACTAAATTGTTCTTTAAAAGTGTTTATATAAAAGTTATAGAAATACAAATTTTTCCTTTTTAATTTTTAAGAGTGCAAATTATTACGGTCAGAACAGAAAGAGTTCAGATTTAAGACTGCTTAATAAATTAATATTTTGTCAACTAGTCTAATAATCAAGTCTTTCCAAGTCACAGAGCTCAAGTCAAGTCTCAAGTCACTGACCTTCAAGTCCAAGTCTAGTTCCAAGTCTTGGTCCATTTTATCAAGTCAAGTCTCAAGTCCTAAAAATAGTGACTCAAGTCTGACTCAAGTCCAAGTCATGACTCGCAAGTCCCCACTTCTGTTTTTTACTGCTCAAAAAAGCAGGAAAAACATGTATAGTAAATGTCAGTAAGGTTTCCTCTCCAAAGAGTTGGCAGATCTCATTGTCCTCATGGAGGTACACCCATTTAATGCCATACCATGAAACATTCCAGACATGCAGAAAAGCTGGTGGCAACAGAGAAACCAAGATTAAAAGTCCATGGGTCAAAATATGAATTACTCTGCATAACACTGACTGTATATCGTCTGTATAAATCATTAAACTTTTATTAATAGCCTATAGGAATAAATGAAAATTGTGGAGTCTGCAATACCATCAGAGCACAACAAAAACTTACAACCTGAGTGTCAATATTCAGAAAGTGTTGTACGATGATCATTTCTGAGCCTTCAGCGCAATTATTGGCAAGAATCTATATTATAGTGCAGTGTTTTTTCTGCTCGGGATTCAGACTTGCAGTGTAAGGTTCTTTTATTTGATTGCAGTTTCCAGTTTTGGTGTCGTGTGCAGCCTCCTGAATATGCTCCTGACACTATTAAGGATATTACAGTTTAATAGGAAGATTTATACCACAACCTGATGTCTTTATGGAAACAGAAAGTTGGATCACTCAAATGAAAAATGTGAACCAAAACCCACAATTCCAACAGGTTGAACTTAAGGAAATGAATGTAATTTATATGCATCAAATGTACATCTAATGGAAACTCACATATGAAGTGTGCGTATACTGATCACGTGGTTTTATTTCATGGTTTTGCTGGAGTTTTGAGCCCTCTTGCAGCGGTCTGGACATGTCACAGGCGTCATAATAAGTGTAGAACCACAAACATGTAGTATTTTTCATCTACTCACTGTGCAGCCTCGGACCCTTCCTTTTAAACCACACATCTCAGAGTGTTTACCTTGATATCTGTAGAGAATTGCATCAGAAAGTATTATCATTTGATCAAAGCACACTGTTCATTTTCCTTGGACTTCAACCATCAATTTACATCAATTTCTTCACATAAATAATTCATACATTTATATAAATTTGTTTTAAGCCAGATACCCTTATGAATATGAAACACAAAACATTTTAGACTGCAAAAAAAGAATAGAATAACCAGTACAAACCACTGTCTATTTATTTTTACCCTGAAAAATGTCTACCCTGAAGTTTAAGTCATAACAAACTGTTGTAACTTGTATTAGTAGCAGTTCATATTTTAAGTCTGTATATTTTTGCCTATGACCTGTGAGTTAAATCCTGATTTTAAAACACAATTTACGGATCTAGATTTTCCCCCCAAAATCCTGTAACCCCAATACACAAAGTAGACTAAACACTTTAAGTCACTGTGATTGGATTATCTGTCTTATAACATCTTAAAGTAAAAAGTGATGAGCGGTGCGTCCCCTCTGCAGTGTCTCTCTTATCGTTATCAGCATCATGTGACCTGCCCATGCTAACAGGGGAAAAACAGGACTTCATTTCAGCGCCTCTGTCAACATGTGGAGTTTCAGTGAGAGGAGTTTTCATGTTTGTAGCTTGCACATAAGCCAAGTCAGCGGCTTAAGGGCTGCTACATGTTGTCCCAGCTTTATATAAAATCTAAGACAGACATTTACTTCTACTTTGTGTGGCTACTTGTATTTTGAAAGTCTTAATATTGCATTATTTTGTCTTATAGTCATCAGATTTTTGTACATATAAAAGTTTATTTAGGATGAATATACAAACTGCAAGTATTACCATACATGGGCAATATTGTTATTTATTCATTTTTACATACAATACATTTAAGTACTGATATTTTAACATGTTTATTTGAATATTTTATACATCAAATTCTTAATTTTTATATATATATATATATATATATATTTTGAAAATATTTTACCTCTGCCACTTTTTACATGCTTTGCTGTTTTGCCTACTACTACTGTTGACAACTACAAAAATTTTCACCCAAGTTTCTGCTCACTTATTAAAATAACAAAAACAAAACAAAAAATCTGATATTGTGACAGATTCCTCAACTCTGACGTTATCTAGAAAGTGTTTTATGACAGGAAATTACCCACAATTCAGCACCTGCAGAGTTGAAGATCTACTGTACCTCCCTATGCCATGTGCTCTGTGAAACAGCCATACTACTACTGCAAACAGAACCAAATAATGCCACATTAGGTAAAGAAATGTACCAATAACTCGATTAGCTTTCACTAAATTCAAGCATTATTGGGAAACAGCTGTTAAACTTATTTTACACTTTATTACACTTTAATACACTTTATTTTCTGTGCATAAATAAAGGCAACACACCAGTGCCCACAAATAAAAACATTAATAAACATAATATAGTGTTATTTAGTGTATGATTTATCTGTAAATGGTGAATGATACACACAGTGAACCACAGAACATAATATTTGTGTGGTCTCAGGCTTGGTAGGACAGAGGGGCAAAGTGGAAAGAGTTCAAATCTGTGGCGTGAGACATCGCCATTGGAAATCTCTGAGACACACTCCGGACACGTGGCACTGACGCTGCTGCTGGTGGCGAGGACGAAGAGGGGATATACGTAGATGCTCCCTGAAAAACGGCAAGATAAAAGTCAGAATTCAATGTAACAGTCAAACGTGTCCACACTGTTAGCGTCACTACTTCCTGTCGTGTGTATGTATGGGTTTTTTGCTGGCTCATGCTAAAATGAATAAATATTTAAAGATAAAACAGTGAACAGAGAGCTGCGGGTGGATGTGACTGTCAACATGTACACACATAAAATGAATACTTCAGAGGTGGACCCTTCTGCTTTTTAGAAATGTTTGTGTCTCATTGCTAAAGCTAATGCTAATGTTGAGGCATAATCAATATTAAAAAACTCTATTTACTCATAAAAAACAATTAGGTAGTGTTGACTTTCAGTGATTAGAATTTTAATAGGTTATTTATTTGATATTTTATGATATTAATAAAAGTGACTGTTAGCTTTGAGACATGGTGAGCTAGTTAGCATACTGCTACGTACAGAGACTATTATGTTGTTGTTTTTCTGACCAGAGTTAATTGTTCTGTGAAATGATGATTAATTAATGAGATTAATAAAACAAATAAATGTGAAGTTTTTTTTTATTAACCAAAACTGTCACATCACTTATGGACATTATTATTTATTTATTATTTTATATTTTTGGCTTACTCTTCCCACTGTTCATAAGTGACAATAGTAAATTAGTTTAACATTTGTGTTACTTGCACCACTCCATAAAGGTGCATTGTGTAACTTTTCTGATGAAGGGCCCATCAAATACTTTTTTCTATGGAGATGTTATTGCTTTGTCTGGAATGTTTCACAGTATGGCATTAAACCTTTCTATCTTCATAGAGACCAAACCAGACCTAGTTACAAGTTAGATCTGTGGAGAGGCAACCTCGCTCACAGTCAGAATGTTCTTCTGGATAATGTTGTACTGTGGAACATTCCAGGCAGAGCAATGATCCATATCCATAGAAACAAAGAGGTGATGGGCCCCTAACCGAGAAGTTACATAGTGCACCTTCAAAACATTATTTAGTTTTGGTTTATTACTTCTACTTTTTGTCCTTTTATGTGGTTCATTCCATTAACACATATTATACCCAAGTGACCCTACTGAAGTGAATGCAGAGATATGAATGTGGTAAACACTGACCGGGTGCAGCTGAGGGACAAAGTGGGCGGAGTGAGCGCTGGCATCCATCAGCAGAGGAGCAGAGGGAGAGGACAGCCCTCTCCCGGTGGGCTCAAAACCCAGGCCAGGACCCCTCTGAAACACAAACACACACAGAGTTAGAGCTACAGATGGTGATGTGACAGCACCGAGGTGGTCCTGGGTGTTCCCTCAGCATGTCGTCTATTTGAATAACAATATAAAAAATCTCTTATCAAAAGCTCTTTGACAATTCCAACCAAGTAAACATCAATTGCCTTACCTGTGTTTTAAATGCGTGTACTACAAACAAAAGATCTGTTTTGGGTTTTTTTTTATCAATAAAATGCCTTGCAGGGGTTTTTTTTGTTTTTGTTTTTTTTTAAGTTTGAACCCCCCTGATCCTCAGTGTCCTGTTCTGTGGTGCCAAGACAAACCTGGGAGGCTCAATATAAATCTAAAACATACTGAAAAGTATGCCATTCATCAGGAGCATCAACACTAGTTTGAATAATGTAAACTGTATAAACTGAAGTCTGTATAAATGTTTAATTGTATAAATGTCTGTATAAACTGTAGTTTGTGCTGATGGCAAATGACAAAAGAGCAGATACTTCTTTGGCCTTAAAGGTGCAATGTGTAACTTTTTGGTTGGGGTCCATCACCTTGTTTACATGGATATGTTATTGCTCTGGGAGGAATGTTCCACAGTGTGACATTAAACAGCTCTACCTTACATTTATTTAATTACACATGGTTTTATAGGTCAGAAATATCTAAAACAAACATTTTGACTGTAAGCAGGACTGCCTCTCCACAGATCTGACCTGTAACTTGGTCTGGTTTGGTCGCCATGAAGACAGAAAGGTATCATACTGTGAGAACATTTCAGACAAACCAATAACATTTCCATGGAGAAAAGCATTTGATAGACCCTCCACTAGAAAAGTTACACAATGCACCTTTAAATCTTTGGCAGTTATTTCCCTGTTTGTAATCTGGATCAGAACAGATCAGATCAGAGCTTTTGTTTTTTGTTGTGTCTATGAAGTCTCACTGCACACATATCCTTTCGCCCTCATGCCTCACTCCTCGCTTGCGCCAGTTCAGTTGAATGGTTATTGCTTTGTAATATTTGGTTGTGTTTTGTGTTGTGTGTTCTCAATGAAATCCATAACCACTGCAGGCTAAAATGTATACATTTGACAAACTGCTATCATAATTTGCTGATTTGCTGTGCTGTATGTTAGGAGTAAAAAACAAGTTGTATAATCCTCTTATACCATGGTCCCACCAAGTTCATTTTTGTCTGTCCATGGATGTTCAAAGTATTAGTTATTACTGTTTACGTTGAAGCTAGTCCCTCCCAATGCTCACAGTGAAGTGATACAGAATAGCAGTTAACTGTTGCCGAACTACCAGTACAGTTATACAAAAATAATGCTCCACAGTTTGCATTAAAACCCTCACTGACCAACTGACCAAGTAATAATGTGTAATTAGAGCAAAGGGAATAAAACTTAACTGGCAGAGGTCAAATTTATCCCAAATGTATGAAATGAATATTTAATCCTTATACAATTGAAAGCACTTTTTATTAGCCCTAATTATTAGGGATCAAACCAATATAGAGTTTACAGAGTAGAAGCAGAAATCAATATTAAAACATGTAAAGGTGCACTATGTAAGCCTGTCTCTCCCTGGAAAATTCATGTTCTTCAAAGTATTTCTGAGCAATAAAAACACCTGTAATTAAATAAATGTATGTTAGGTAGGTTTAATACATACCATATTGTGAAACATTGCAGCTAAAACAATAATAATCTTCATTGTAGTGGTCTCCCCTTTGGAAAAGTTAGGAGATGCTACAGTTCATCTAAAATCAGGGCACACCGAATAGTCTTGAGTTATGGATGCAAGGCAGCAGGCAGTGAATCAAATCCAGACAAGAGGAGGCTGTGCCCTTCAGCGCCCAGGGTCATTCAGACCTCATAAACATGTTTGCATCCATCTTTGGTTCAGGCATATGAAAGATAAGGCAAATCTATGACTGTCCATTCTCCTCTGTCCTTATTGTTTTTATTTGAGATTCCAAAAACAAAGATTATTATTGAAACTGTACTCCAGTATTTTGATTTTGTCGACTTTACACAGTAACACACCCAGATCTACTCTTTATTTCAACTGGACAGAGTTTGAACCACAGACATCTCTCCTGCCTCAGTGTGAACTCCACAAGCCACTGCCTCCATCTGATATCTGCTTATTAGATATGAACAGTGTGTATGATTAAGAAAGCTAAAGGGATGAAACTCAGATTAGATCTAGCTTCAAGCTGAAATACAAGAGAATTAAGAATTACATGAGGCGAACACTTAAACACTTAAAATACTAAAAATAATACAAATAATACTGTGCTAAAATTGGGAGCACATATATTAACAATAGATAAAAAGTCTCACATTACATTCTCAGTTACTTATAGGTGCACTGAGCAGCATTCCTGGTGTAGGGTCCACTACCTTCTTGTCTCCATGGATAAATTATTGCTTTGCCTGGCATGTTCCATGGTATGACATTAAACATATCCATATAGCGTTTAATCATAACGAGCGTTTCTGTTTCTCAAAAATACATTTATTCTTCCTGTGAACAGAGGCATGTTTCCACAGATCTGAGTTGTAATGGAGCATAGTACTGTATCCTAGCCTGATTCATCAGCTGGTTTCACTTCGTTTCACTTGATAGAAACCATCAGACCTCGCAGTGTTAGAATTTGTTGGCTCGATGGTAGGTGGGTACTTTCATTTAACCAGTCACTGCTATTTGGTCGTGACGTATGTAATGCACCGCTAACGAGGCTAACTGGTACATTACGCTTTTCCCAAATCCCATAGTTAGAAGGGCAATAACGTCTTTCTCCTTGATAAAATTCACCAAATATTCTCTTTGTTCCAGCTTTAAATCCTCGATCTCGGAAATCGTTGACAACACTGAATATATGGCTCTTCGCTGATTGGCTGGTGCCCAAACTTGCACTTCTGGGGTTTTTGCAAACCGTCTAGTGTATTCTGATTCCTGACCTAGGTGCTGGAGAGAAATGAAATTGAACGGGACTAGATGTAACTGTAACCTATCCTTGGGTTGTAATCTTGAATTAGTAGATTGTCTGCATCCCTAAATCTTAAATTTGTGATGTCATTTAGTGGGAGTTTTAAGGTTAACAGCAATTTTTAGCCTCAGCTGAACTACTTTACTATTCAGCAGTCAAGATTAACATTAAATTGTTCATTTTATTTTTTAATATTTTTGTTTAATTTTTTGTACAAATTAGAAATGTCATTACAAAGTCTGTAATATCTGATGAGGAGTGAAGTCAGTCCAAAAAGGCTAAAACGACAGCTGCAGTTTCAAGTTAAGCGAACAAGTTAAACAAAAAATTATTCTAATGAAGGTGTATGGAGTTTAAAAACACAGTGGAGCAATTCCTGTACTACTATCACTTAATGACATCACAAGAAGGAACAGAGTATTTTCAGTTTGAAAAAGAACACAGCCTAAGTATTCAGGATCTGTGTTAAACTCATGCAAATGAAACAAAATACAACTCCATGTACATCTGTGATCAATAATGTAAGCTTTTCTTCTTTTTATAGTGTAATCGTGTATTTCTCTTGTACACAATGTATCTATCTAGCTGTAATTGTTTCCATTTTTAATACACCTTACCACGTTCTTGATGCTGCCCAAAACTGCAGCGGTAAGGATGCCCGTGAAGACCACCAGGTTAAGGCCCGTCAGACTCCAGATGAGAAAGTACAAAATAAAAACGTCACGGCAGCTTTGGACTCCCACAAACTCATAGTAGTCGTTCAGGTACCCTCCACTAAAATGATATAAAGAAAAATATATATATTTTTTCATCATTTGCAAATAACTGTATTTGAGTCCTTTGTCTTACTTTGCACAGTTATACAGGTCACAGCAATAGCAGGTCCCGCTTCGGACAGTTATGTTACATGTTTCCTCTAAAGTCCAACATGAAACCTAAAATGAAATCACATAATCAATTTATCTGAGTAATACTGACTTAGAGCTCAACACAAAATGTAGTATGTTGGACTTACTGTGGCATAATAGTTTTCATAGAGATAACCATTTCCACTGCTATAATACTGACACCTTCCTGCTCTCAGCGGACGCATATCCTGGATTTAAAAATATTCACATTTATGTAAACATCAACAAGGTTATAAAGTATGTATATAGAACAGAAAGACTACTACAAATGTCAACGAAATAAGCCAGTTTAATAAATTTATGATTGGAAATATGAGATTAATAATACATATTTCTCACTATTGGTTGTTTTTTGCAAGAGACAGTTTTCCCTTGTGATTATATTGTACTTTGTCACAAAATATACAAAACGTAAATGCACGAATGTTGAACCTGATCATTTCTATTAATGACTAAACCCCAAGAACTCACTGTAGTACAATAAAAATCTGTATTCCAACTATATTACTGGAGAGGGAAGAACAGAACTACAGTATGAGGTAAAGATCCTCGGTCATCCAGGATGTACAAATGTGGAAGCATGAAGCCAAAAAAAGCTGGACTGCTACAGGGGGACGGAGCCTTTAAGACTGAGATCTTTCACAGCTTGTAATTCACAACATTTTCACAAATCACAAATCTCACCAAGCTGAAACCTGTGAGAAAATCTCTGGGAATCAGGCAGCACAGTCTCACAGAAATGTATATGTTTGTGGACTGAATAAATAATTTTTACATAATTGGAATTTTCCAAGATATACCTGGGGATAACTCACCATGTTAAAACCAATGACTGCTCCATCTATCATCAGGCACAAGACGGATGTAATGATTCCAAAACTGAGAAAAGCTATGGCAGCTGTTATCTGGAGGCAAAGAGGATGAAACATAATAGAAAATGTTTGAGCTATTCCAAAGAATCTCATGATGGTAACGTTCTGACAATATTACTTAACTTTCAACTTCAACCTGATTCAGACCATTTAGTTCATCTCAGGACAGCAACATGGAGAGAGACGTGGAAAGTGAAAAATACATTCCACTTAAAACTTCACTCACCATTTTATTGTTTCCTCTGACATGATTTTACCTACCTGATGAAATGGATGAATGCCTTAATAAAACGTATGGTAATGACCCATGATCAATTTAGTGGGTCTTTGCTTTTTTATAGAAATATAAAATTATCATTGAATATGTAATATTTATTGAGGTTTAAAAAACAAAACCAGTGCCAATTGTTCTGATGCTTAAAGACTCTTTGCAGGTGCATGTGTGTATACTTTGCTTATCACTATCTTAACTAAACCTAACCACAATAAAGAATAAACATGAGAAATTGATGTTCACAATAAAACGTGACAGCTAACTTTAAAACTAAAGGGAATATCACTATGTGTCATGTTTGCGTATTATAGAGCAAGGATGTCTTATCTGATCAGGACAGGGTGTGCATAAGATAAACATGAGGAAAATGTGTTATGGGGGAAGTAGGTGCGCGTGTCAGAAAAGCAAATGAAGAAAAAGTAGAGGGATATACCAGATGCCTACGGTTTTCCTCCAGGCCAAGTCCCAAGAGCCCCAGGAAGGATCCCAGGGTCAGCTGCAAAGACAACACAATTCAAATGTGGATCAAAACAAAGCAAGTCCATTTACACAGTCAGTAATGTGCAGTGGAGCCCTTCCAGAAAAAATATGATCTCAAATTTATAAGACAATATCAGTATGTAGTCAGATTCACAAATATTTATCATGTCCTGGTGTTAAAGAGCTTGACAGGGTTAAAGTGTGAGGTCTAACATAAAAGCAAATTACACCGAGGCCTGTAGTCATGGCTTTTTAGGGAATTCTATTATTGCCATATTAACCATCAATTTTAAAAACACGGTCCTGTCAAAGTTATTGTAAAAATTGTCCCTTTCTCAAATAAAAAATAATAATCAAATAAAAATACACAGTGCATGTGAATGTTGTGTTGCTCATAAAATTACTACTGTAGACCAGAAAGAGTGAAGAGTAGAGTAGAGTGAAGCAAGGCATTGTGGAGATGATTTATCATACAACATGCTGAATTTTATTGTAGGTTATTGTTTGGCAACTGCTTAGTAATAATTATACACTTGCACTTTAATAAATTATTTTCATTAGTACATACTATATAGTTACCAAATAGATTATATGTGCAGGTGGCAGCGCACATAGCCACTTTTATTTTTCAGTTTAATATCAGTCCTGTTTTATTTACAATAATTGATCACAAACTCTAGTACTTACAATAATCCCAGAAGTGTAGCCAGAAACACTCACTGTCTTTGTCAGGGTGGTTGTATAAATTCCCACTGCCACAAGGAGCAGAGACAAACTGAGCATGCTCAGTAGCAACCACAGAGCTCGCTTAAGTCTCACCATTAGGTCTGGTAAAAGAAGAAAAAAAAAATGCTAGAAGCTTCTCCATGATAAAAATAAAAAGGTTTATCCCTCTCAACTCTCTCAGCTGCTACTTTAACTCGTGTTTCTATTCAGTGTCAACCATGTGGATTTATTTTGCTTTTACCTTATTTGTCTTAAGATGAATTACTGCTTCATCAATTATAATTATGCATTTTAAAATGATGCATGATAACAGCAAGCAACTTTCAATAACACACAATTGTTACCACAAATAACTGCCATTGTGATACTGGCCAGCTGTAAATAATAGTAAAATTATATAACATTTTATGAATATTTTATTTCTAATGTACATCAAGCCTATTAACAACATGCAGCATTCTACTGTACCAGCAGTTTTCTCTCCATGTATAAATAATTACAACGTATTTGGTAGCAGTACGCATGCCTCTTTTGCAAGATAACCATGCTTTGGAAAAATATTATATAAAATATAATAATTTGAAATTAGCCCAAGTATTATAAGTATATAGTACATAAGTTAATACAAAAGTATTAGTATTAGCTATAAACCAATGTAATGTGAGAAAACATTTGAAAAAAACAAAAACAAAAAAAGTAAAAGTAAGTATATCCCAATTGTGTAACAAAGGTTTTCTTATCATATCCTTAGACTACATGCAAGTAATTTCATTTGGATCTTTACCTGTTGCATAGCCTCTTAGAATCAGTTTGTCTGTGTCTGTGCTCCCTGTCGCTGGTATTGTTGCAGTCACCATCATATATCCAAACACAGTGCACGTTTACGTCTGTTTAAATCATATACGGTCTGTGATTAAATGCAGGGTCTCTGCCTTTGTCACGTGAGGCTGGAGCTTCAGGGAGCGTGTGTCTCCAGCTCCACATCAGCCTCTGCTGCTTTCATGGATCATGAAAAATATGTCAGTTTATAGGTGTTTATCACTGTGATTCAAGACCAATTCATACTTCATAAGAAGTACTTCACTAAAAATAACACCTAAAACAAACTGATGGCATTTCTGCTGGCAGCCACAGACTGGCAGCCCCAGATGTGAGAACAAGTGGTGGTGTGGTCCATGGATCTAGGTCTTGACAAATGAGATGCATGCACAACTTTAACAATACTGCCCTCTTTCGACCGTAGTGGCAGACTGTAGTCTGCGGAGTGCACTGCCTGCTATGCTGCTAACTCTACACAGAAGCAAACAGGTTAGCGGATAGCTTCGTAGCTTCGCGTATCATCCATTTTGTTTAGCTTAGCTTAGCTCGTAAAGCTAACGCTGGCTCGCAGACTTTACCGTGGTTCAGAGATGGATGACAGTGACGAGCCGGGGCTAGTCCTCTCACACAACACCTCTTCAGGCTCAAAGTCAGGCGGAGACAAGATGTTTTCACTAAAAAAGTGGAATGCTGTAGCCATGTGGAGTTGGGACGTTGAATGTGATACTTGTGCCATTTGTCGAGTTCAAGTAATGGGTGAGTCTTAAAAGTGACAGCTTGGTTAGCTTAGCCTAGCCACAGGCTAACTTAGCCATGTCACATTGCTAAGGTATTCAGTTTTTGGTTTCATTTCCAGACGCTTGCCTCCGATGCCAGGCTGAAAATAAACAAGAGGACTGTGTTGGTGAGGACACGTTTAACTTTCAGCAGATTTTTGTCTAGCATCGCTATAAAACATCAGCTTTAACTAAGAACGGTTAGCATGAGCGAAATCTGCTGGCAATTTCTAGGACATTTAACTTAAATCTGTGAAAACAAAATGCCAGCTTGAATAGAAAAATACAAATAATGTGATGTGATCACTGTGTGCGTTATGCAAAGATACCTTGTCACTATAACATATAGGTAAATATGAGATACAGTATTGTTTCTACTGATGTCTAATGTTTAAATTGTATATATTTTATGTTTCAGTGGTTTGGGGAGAATGCAACCACTCTTTTCACAACTGCTGCATGTCTCTTTGGGTGAAGCAGAACAATCGCTGCCCGCTATGCCAGCAGGACTGGGTTGTTCAGAGAATTGGAAAATAAGATGCTGCTCCAGCTGGTCATCTGCCATTTGTTCCAGATCTGAACAACCTCAAAGACTGTCATGATACTGAAGACTGCATTAACATCAGCGGGATCACTGACACTACCAACTCTGCACATTATGTCCAATTGCATGTTCCAGGATTTCCAGTGGAAAATGGACAACAAATAACAATCTGAGCACCACAGACTGTAAACAAGATGAATTTACTGGAAATTATGTTTTTTTGCATAAGGTCAAATAATTGCAACAGTGTTTGTGTTCACAATGCTTTACAGGTTCCTTTGCGTTTTCTGTTAGTGAATGTGTGTTAAAATAAAAGTGTACAATGTGTATTTAATCTAACCTAAAATCATCCTTCAACACTCTGTATTTATCACAGTTATTGTTATACAGTATATTTGAAAGGTTGCTACCAATCCTGCTCAAGAAGGATGAAAGTAAATTTTGTTTTTTATTATATATGTTGGTCTTTATGAGCGTAAATGATAGTATTATTACTTAAGTATAAGAAAAAATATAGCTCATCAGTTTTTAGAGGTGTACAATTTCCTCCCCCATCTAAATATTAAATAGTAATTTAAACTGAATAGGTAGTTTTAAAAAGTGGGTTTAAACAAATAACTGATTATAAAGTCAGGAAAAAAGATTACTTGTTAACCTACATAGGATTACTACATCATGCAGTGATGGCAGTCCAGTTAGTGTGCACAGGCACTTTGCATTTCTAAATAAAGACTTCACAAAGCCTCTTAAGTTCAAACCACATAAGTTGCTTTCCCTAGTGCTGTCTGCAGATCAGAATCCAAAGGCACTTACTTAGGCTCCCTACAAATCCCTGAGGACAGGTCCACATGCTCATCAGTTCTAACAGGAGGAACCATGTTGAGGACACCATGGTCTGAGGAGCTCAGATGTGCCTGTCTGCACCTTTGAAAAGTGATGTTTCAATGAGCCTCTGCCTTCAGCCGCACCACAGGATACATCCAGCATGGGTGACCTGGGGGTCCTGGAGAACCTGGTGGCTAACACAGCATACCTGAGGGCCCAGCAGATGGACCGGTCTGAGCTGAGAAAACACAGGCTGAGCCTTTCACTGCCCAAACCCAAGAGTCTGAGGTCTCAGGAAGCAGTGGTGAAGCAGTACGAGTCGTTGTGTGAACAGCAGCCCATAGGCAAAAGGCTGTTCCAGCAGTTTCTCACTTCTGATCCACAGTACATTGCCGCTGCGAGGTTCTTAGAAGAGTTGAGAGACTACTACTACGCTGAAGGTGTAAGCAGGAGACTTGTTCAGAAGAAGATCATTAACACGTTCGGTCAGACTGGCTCAAAGAGTTTTCTGTCATTTTTAACTGGAGATGGAGCTAAAGCACTGGAGAATCTTTCAGAAGACAACTTTGAAGAGGTTATTGGCACAATCAAAGAGGCCGCAAGGGAATTCTTGAAAGGAAGGCCTTTCATGGAATATCTGGAAAGTCCATTCTATTACAAGTTTCTGCAGTGGAAAGAGTATGAGAAACAAACAATCAGCGACAAATACTTTTATGAGTTCAGAATTTTGGGGAAAGGTGGTTTTGGTGAGGTAGGTGTCAAATATTTTGAGTAGTTTTTGTTGACAATTCATGCATGTAAAAGTTATTGCTTTCTGTCTTGCAGGTATGTGCAGTGCAGGTGAAACATACTGGCCAGATGTATGCCTGCAAGAAACTTCATAAAAGATGCCTCAAAAAGAAAGGTGGTGAACGTCTAGTCCTTCTGGAGAAACAAATCTTAGAGAAAGTCAACAGTCTATTCATTGTAAATCTTGCTTATGCATTTGAGAACAAGACCCACCTGTGCCTGGTCATGGACCTCATGAATGGAGGAGACCTCAAGTTTCACATCTATGATCTTGGGACAAGAGGTCTTCGAATGGATCGCATTGTTTACTATTCAGCTCAGATTACATGCGGGCTCTTGCATCTTCACTCCATGGACATCATCTACCGTGACATGAAGCCAGAGAACGTGCTCTTAGACGCTAAAGGACAGTGTCGTCTCTCTGACCTTGGGCTGGCCGTGGAGCTTCCAGATGGGAAAAATGTCTGCCAAAAGGTGAGTGTTGTGACCTCATGACAACATAATCTAACCCACAAATTAGATTTAGTCTTAGACTTATTACTTGGACACAGTAGCTCACACATCACAATATATTGTAATAACAAATAATGTTTTATTAATAAATTAAATTTACAAAGAAAAAAAAAATTAATACAGTTTTATTTAGCTCTTTTCTGGACACTCAAAGACACTTTACAGAGCATTATTCATTCACTTCACACTTGGTGGAGGTAAGAGACTATTGTAACCACAGCTGCCCTGGGGAGACTGACAGACAAAAAATATATAAATGGTAATGGGTTCTATATAAGTAGCAAAAATCTCAAGAGACTGGTATTAAATAAAGCATAATTATATAAATGTATATGTACAAATAAAAATAAAATTTAAATGAAATTTTAAAAAGTTATAAAATATCTCAGCAATATACAAGAGGTCATATCGAAAAACAAACAGATGCCCACAGACAAAGCTATATCAATCAGTTGTTTCATTATTGGTTTGTTTCATATACTCCATGTTTGTCCACAAGTCTGGGCTTAAAAGAAGTAAATATGATAGGGGTCTTATCTATTTTGAAGACAAGCAGAGGGTGACCTTAAGTGGCCTGCTCAATCCTGTTAAGAGGTCAATGACTTTAATCCCACCTGTATGTACCACAGGCAGCAAAAATGTGTGACGACTGCAATGGCATTGTCTGAGCTTTTTAAACTACTACCAGCTATGGCTTTGAGCAACAGAGATAATAGAGCAGATCCACTACAGGCCCAAGACCTGAGACTTCCACTTTGCAATAGTTCAATTTTGCTATTTCTACAATTTCTTAGATATTATGTGGTATGTACATCTTACTCTTATGCCATGATTCATTAATGTTATGAAACTTTTGTTGTACTGTCAGGCTGGGACCACAGGCTACATGGCTCCGGAGATTCTAAAGCAAGAGCACTATCGCACATCAGTGGACTGGTGGTCTCTGGGCTGCAGTATCTACGAGATGGTGGCTGCACGACTGCCTTTCAAAGATTTCAAAGAGAAGGTGCAGACCACTGAGCTGACCCGACGCACGCTAGAGGACACTGTTAAGTTTGAACACAAAAACTTTAATGAGGCCACTAAAGATATCATAACCCGCTTTCTCAAGAAGAAGACAGACTATCGCCTTGGTTGTCACAGGTAAGATGAAGAAATTTTCTGTTAATTAGTGAATTGTGCGATATTATCCAAACAAACGTTATTTCCAGCATCAGATCTATTGAGTCACACAACAAACTCACTTTTATTACAGAAGTGGAGATGATCCCCGTAAGCATGCTTTCTTCAAGGATATCAATTTTCACCGTCTTGAGGTGGGGTTGGTGGACCCCCCCTGGGTGCCAAAGTCTAATGTAGTATATGCCAAGGATATGGGTGAGTTCAAAGACATTTCTGAGGAAGACAACGTGGCTCTTGATGCTATGGATGAGAAATTCTTCAAGGAGTTTAGCACAGGTGCAGTACCAATACGCTGGCAGAAGGAGATGATAGACAGCGGAGTGTTTGATGAATTGAACTGCTTCCAAATAAATGGACATGGCTACGAGACAGCAAAATCCAGAACATGTGTCATTATGTAGTCATTAAGCACCAGTACTGCAGTTTATGAATCAAGTGCCTGTCACAGTATGAAATATACCTCAAACTTGATCAGATGTGGTCAAAAAACCTTAAAACAAATGTGAGTTGCACAGTCAGTTTGAGTGGACACTGGATGGGCGCTTCATACTTTGTCCTCTATTCCTGGAGACATTTTCCATTACATCACTCCACCAGACTCCAGTCATGGCATTACTAAGAGTTAACATATGTTTGTAAACAGCATTGTGGTTGCACAGGCATCAAAATTATTATTACTATTTGCTGCTATGTGTTATACTAGTTGAGAAGACTAAGGGGTCATTGTATGTCTCTAATGCCTTTTGCTCATGTGAGTGGATAATCTAATACAAATTCAGTGCAAAGCAGTAATAAACTTTCACCAGCAGGTGCCACTATAGACCATTTATGTGCATTTTACACTCTGACATCCTGGGCTCAAGCTTTTATAATCAAAACAACTTGTGAAAGTTGAACAAATTAGATCTGGTAAGGCAGTCATTACACTTTTCTGCTTCATCTGCATTCATGTGTTGGTTTTCTATAATCATTGCTGACAACATTCATCATCCCCCATAACAAACAGTGTGTGTACATGCTGTATAGTACTTAGTATACCCATGGGTTTCAAAGTGATGAAAATTAACACTGTTGCCAAGGCAATTAAAATTCAGAATATATTGTTATATCATACGAATGGTGAAACGCTCTAAATGATGCATAAACAGGAACAGACGTTTGATGCATTGCACAATGTTACAACGCTTGTTTGTAAATGTTTTACAATTAACTATGACACACTGTAGGTCCAGATATGGACTGTGCTATTTTTATGTATCAACATGAAGATGCCCCAGCTGAACTTCCACAGGAATATTTTATTAAAATCCTAATAATGTATTGCACCTATAGAGCTTAAAAGAAAATCTGTCTTTTTTCCTCTGAGGTTTGATGTTTGCTTGTTAACGAGTGAGTCTTCAATGCGATGACACTGGATGTTTCAGGTGACAGCTCCGCAGCTATTTTGATGATCTTCTTGTTGGTCGTCGCAAACCACAGATGTCATCTGTCATCAGCTGTTCCAGTAGCCCAGGCTCAGCCGAAAATCACATGTATTAACCACAAGTACAGCTGTAATGTCAGCCGGATCTTTAATTGTATCACTCAGTGAATCACTCCAAACCCTCAGACACATTTGGGCAATTAGGGACACATAAACATGTGCTGCACTAACTCCAGTGATGGCTGACCTTACAAGCCTGAGAAGAGCTTCCATTCACGCTCCTCTGTCATGAGATTAGAGGCTGCTTCAGATAGAAATCCAAGATGCAACTTGATCATGACGGCTTGAGAAGGGCAGTGGGAAGTCCACTGTGGATGATGTGATGACAAGACAAACTCGGCAACAGGTCTCCAGAACATGTTTTTAGCAGCCGCCTACAAGAGTCTGCCAGGGTTCAGTTCCCTGTGGCCCATCAGTCTTTACTACTGCCCCTCACCACATAAACACCATCATGCACACAGTTTTGCAGGAACTGTTGCTTTCACTTTTCTTAGCATAGTTGTGCTTCCAAAAGACAAGCCCGGCACATCTCAATACACGCCTCCACACCAACACAATCTTATTACCTCTGTAGCGCAGCACAGGGCTTTGCAGATCAAAGCAGCTGGCTGTAATTTGGTATCTGCGTTTGTTACATGCCCATGTGCTGGACTCACTTCAAAGGCGTGTGTCACACATTAGCCTGGCCTTGGCATCTTGGGCTCCTCTCTCAGCGCTCATGACTTAGCCTCCTTTGGCACCATTCAGGTGTCCCTAAACATGCAGATAACACATAGCCTGAGCAGGAGGGAAAGTAGCCCTGATTGGTGACTGAGCGTGCATGATTGTGTGTGTCAGAATGAGTCTGCACCGGTGAATATTGGATAGGTAAGAAAGTGGTGGGACAGAGAAGCCATTGTCTGCATAGGGAAAGTAAGAGTCAGCCTAAGGGAGGAGAAAGGGTACACTGCTGCCATCCTGTGTGCAGGATTAGGTTCACATCCTGGGGTAATTTACTCTGACCTATTACACTATTACTGCATTATATTTGAAGATGGATTAAAGCTACAGCTAATCAATGTGACTGTAAATAAGTAACCAAAAATTAGGCAACCCCTTACAAGTATAATATCGGTAAGTGCTCTGCTATATAGTTTGGTTGGATTTATGAATTGATGTACATCTCATATTGTCTGAACTTTTATAAAACTATTCTCACTGGTATCAGTATGTTAGTTATTGGTTGATATTTAAAGCTAAAATATTGTTATTTCAATTTAATTTCAATTACACGCTGCAGGTCAGACAAGGGTGACATTTGTTGGAGCTTGCAAATGATTTTTAAATTTTTTAAAATTTCCATTATAAATCCTATCAACATTCAATTTATTGGCATTAACCAATTGTAAATATTAAAGCTATCGTGATTAAAATCTGTAGACTGCCACACACACTATGTTTATCTAAGATTTTGAATCTACTGTATGATGGTTTTGAGAAATGTTTCATTTTCGGGGTTAACTTGCTGCTCTAAGCGTCATTGCTAGAATTCTTAACATTTCCACAAATAAGTGAATTCCTGCAGGCCGCTCCAAAAAAAACAGAGCTGGTGAATGTGTGCACAGCATCCCCTTCCCCGTGGAGGCCCATGGGCAGTTTCCATGTGGTCCTCTCTCAGAGCCCTGTGCCGCCAGGACCTACACTAGTATCTGGACACAGCTCCACTGGACACTAATCCACACTTGTAAACAGTTCCGCTAAACCCCTCCACTGTTCCCTTACCATTTTTGGCAAAGCACTGCTAAGTTCATCTGTCTGTGTAATTTAGTGTCATATTCAGCTTCAAAACTTTTTTTCCCCCTCAGCAAGTGTGGAACCTGCCAGAGGAGTAAAGTAATCCGCCTTGTAACTTTCCAAACCCATGTTCTATGAGATTCTATTCCACAGTCTCATTTGTAATTTGACTCTTGTGCCGCAGTATAATGAAGTGAATATTTGTATGAAGACCAAAAATGTATATCTGCTATTTTCAGCAGCAATTGAGAAATAATTTTCTTTACTTCAGTAATGTGTCACAAACTGGTTCAAAGTATTAGTAGTAGTATTTGACTTAGAATTTATGCAGACTACCGTGTATCTGTTTTCAAGAAACAAAGCCTCCCACCAGCACAAGATCCAGGTTTGAGTTGTGAAAGTGACTGCTTGCTGAAAAGTCTGAAATGTGAGTTGGCACAGGTTTAGAGTTGTGTGTGATGTCTGTGCCCCTTCCACCACACAGCCAGTCAAGATCAGAATATCAAACAAAAGGGATAAAATGGTGCACAATACAGTATCAATGTCGGAAATCCTTTACAAGACATCAGCAAAAAGCTGCAGCAGGTGGTAATGCAATTTGGGGTTTTGCATCTAAGAGAAGTGTTAACCACCCCACCTACAGAATAATTTAAATAAAGAGAAATATGATTAAAAGTGTCATAGGTAAAATGAACCAAAGATGATCTGGTTGTAAAAATATTTTGCTAATCTAATCAAATTCAATCATATAAAACAAGGGTCTCCAACCTTTTTCCTCCAGTGAGCTAACTTTACAAAATGAAAATGCCAGAGAGCTTCTCATTTTACCAAATGCAGGAAATAAAGTGAACATAAGAGCCATGGCAATACTTAGCTGGGGTACAGTTAGATACAACATAAAACATAATTTATTTATGAGTACACAAAGTCAGGCATCAAATGATAGTTTTACAATAATAATGGGCAATAGACGTTTAATTCATCAAATCTGAGTTACTCAGGACAATACGTATAATTCAGATATCTCTTGGTGAGCTACTTGAAAGGGGGTGGAGAGCTACTGGTATAAAATAAGAAATATAAATGTCAAGACTCGTCAAAATTTGCCCCGTCTGGACTGTCGGGCAGTAATTGAGCGAGCAAGAAGAAAGAAGGAAGTAGGTTAAACTTATGGGCCGCACAGGCCTTCAGCACAGGGGTCTTTCTTCCTGTGTCTGGGTAGGTTTCTCCCATTAACCAAAAGCATAATGTAATCCTGACCAAGACCAGCTCAAGATCTGGAGATCCAGGGCCAGCACTACTCCCCCACTGCCCCTGAAAAGACTAGTGGAGGGTCCACGACTTGCATGTCTCCAAGGAAATTTTATTGCTTCTTTAAACCTATTAAACCTGTTACTGAACCTTTAGCACAAGGCAAACAAGCAGGTTACAGCACCACACTGCCTTACTATTCAGATCTTTCTGAGCAATAGAAAGATCTGTAATTAAATAAATTCCTTGATGAAAATGTTTAATGTCATACCATGGAATATTCCAGGCAAAACATTAAAATGTCCATGGAGACAAGCAGGTCGCGGACCCTGTACCAGAAAAGTTAATAAAATAAGTATGAAGAAAATGAGAGCGGTTTGAGTTGAGACTAATTGCATGTCACCATGCAGGTTTTCTTTGGCAAACCTCACACAGGTATAAGAACCCCACACTCTTCAGAGCTAGATGAGTTTGACACAAAAACAGAAACTCTAGCTTTGAGATGGTGTAACTTTCTAAGAGTTTAATCTAATTAACCACCACTTATTGCATTCTTTGTTAGCGGTGTAATATGACTGACAGTTGGTGCAGCGGCCAGCCTGGACCGGATCCAAGTCCATTGTGCGTGCCTATAACCTGCCTCTTTCAGTCTGTCACTTCCCCTGAATTCTGTATATTGTGTTATGCGTGGCTTGCTCCGGTCACACAATCCCATAGACATCTGGGCCGTGTTGATTTACGACCGCTAATGGCTAACGTTGTGCTCAAAGCTGTGGATGTGTGTATAGACTAACCACCTCTTGTTTGAATCCAGAGGTCTGCTTAAACAAAGGAGGATTGAGGAGAGATGGCTTCTTTACTCACTTTGCGCAGGTTCATGACGTGGTATTTCCT